TCAAAATAAAAGATAAAAAGGTAAACTAGGGAATCATTACTTTCTTTGTAAAACAGATTGTGCAGACCTTCAAGTTCATGAAAAACTTGCAAGCATATACATTGATGACCCCTTTATAGGCCACTGAAGTTGACCTTTGACTCACCTCTGCAAAAAAGATGCAAAGTACCTTGTTTCAATGGCTTACTGTTTAGACTTAAACATAGCAATGTAACCAAAAATTTATATTTTCAAAAATAGAGAAGCACCATCCGCTTGCACACAAATTTTAAAACCAGTGTTACATCACGTTGGGGTGTACAAAGATGGCATTTAAAAGTTGAGTTATAAGACTTAACAACCCTTCACTAGCACATGTTCTATTTTCATTGAGGTAATGTTACCTTACAACTTCTCAACATCATGAAAAGACCTGCTTTTCACTTTTTAAATATAATCTTCTTGTCTGAAAATAGATGTAATGCCACTCCAAAAACATACACTAAGTGGTGCGTACCTTTGATTGCTTTTTTCCTTGAGGACTTTTCTTTATCACTTTCATCCGATGTCCCCTCGTTGCTTCCATTGGATCCACCTTCATGACTTGAAATACTTCTCAGTTGTCCAAATCTTTCACCAGTGAAGTATCTTACAAACACACCACTATGTAATCGGTGTCTCCTAGAGCATTCTGTATAATGTGAAAATCGATTGGAAAAACTCAAGTAGATCTCTAGCTGGATCCGTCCTTACTTTGCGAGATTGTCGTGGGAGTATCTGATAGCATAATGGTTATTGGCTTTATAAAAGTCAGTATCAGTTATAAAACCAGCAATTAAAAGAATAAAACCAATAAACCCTAAATGACATCAAAACAATCTACATCATACATGAAGCTGAAAAATCATGATTTCACGACCTCGTCACTATACCTCTGCATGGTGTCAACTTCTCATTGAATCCAACTTTATACCAGGAAGAAACATCTTTCCACTGGAAAATGAATCCTATCCTCCTACTCAGATGAGAACATTTCCACAGCGCTGATGACATTTCTTCCCGCTTTCATGCCCAAGTTATGATTTCCAAAACAAAACCGTACCTGTTTTACTTAGGAACCGGGCCGTTTCCTTGTCGGAGATGATCTTGTACGAGTTCGTCACATGATTTATGTGTCACATGACGGAGCCACTCGATCACCTGACCTGACTCACATCGCCATTTTGAGCAGCACCTTGTGTCTTTCTGGTAGAAATCATCCTTATTTCTCGAAAGAAAATGGGAGATCAACCGTCTTATGTCGCGTTTTTCGGTGCCATGGGAGCGACTTCGGCTATAGTGTTTAGTGGTAAGCATATTATGGAGGGTTTGGCTATAGTGTGTTAAGTTTAAATTATGCTGATCACTAATTCCGTGAAACCCAATTTTAGCTCTAGGAGCCGCATATGGGACAGCCAAAAGTGGAACAGGAATCGCTGCTATGAGTGTGATGCGCCCAGAACTGATTATGAAGTCTATAATCCCAGTAGTTATGGCAGGTATCCTCGCTATTTATGGACTCGTTGTGGCCGTGCTTGTTGGCAATGGAAGTAAGTGTTCATGACAGGATTAACGCTTGTGTTATATATCAGATAATTACGTCATTCTTCTTATGAATCATTCTTCTTTTCGACTCTGTTTATAAATGATACCATTTACTTAATGGAAGGTTTTTTCTGCATAGTGGATGTGCCCTTCAATTGGGGCTAAAATTCTCTTATGTAGACTACTATCTCTTCACTAAAGAGAAATGTTGGGCCAATTTACGGAGTTACGTCTGAAGAGTAACTCTGACTGGCAAGCCACTGAGCAGCTTTGTACACCTCTCTTGTTCTTTAACATTGATTTAGAAAAGCTGACAAGCTATCCCACATCAAGGAAGCCACAGCATTCTGTAGATTCTTCCCAATTCCTACATGCAATTTACGAAAAAAGTTATTGTTGATTGTTTGAGAAACCCATAATTATAGTGTAAAAGCAATGTATGTACTTTCTATCAGTTGATTATCACAGTAATCCATAAAGGAAGTTGATTGAAAACTAAGAAAGTTTGTACCCTACTCACCTTGGCCATGGGTTACAAACTTTTCTCCTAGTCTCACAACATTTATCTAGATTACTATGCTGGTAAAGTGAGAGCAAGTGAAGCTAAGTGCTTTACGATCTAAGTGGTAGCTTTATATGTTTTCAGTAGTCATTTTGTCAATGTGATTACTCACATTTGATTTCAGGTGTTAGAAATATCCTCTAGTTTGTTGTTGGTGATCATAAATCCATTTTTGATAGAATAAATCTTTCAAGTTCATGGAGCCTTCTTGAGGCACTATCCAAAATGATGACATGCCAAAATACACACTTTGTTTGAGAAAGATAAATTTGTAACAAAAACTTAAAAGTACTAGCTCAACATGTACCTCTCATGACTGATTTTGACATTTGTTCATTATTTTCTTTATAGTCAATAAGGATCAACATCTGACACACATTATTTTTACTGCTTCTGAAGGCAAAGTCAATTACTCTTGCTCAGTGACTCAATGATAACAAAACACAATCAACTTGAAACAGGTCCTGAGTTGAAATAATACTTTAAAAAGTTCCCAAACAACTTTTGCTTTTACAGTAGCTTATCAGTTGTGGGATGCGCTTAGTGTGTGCTTAACACAACATGCTGTTCTATGGAAATGTGTTAAAATTAATGTACTAGGGATGTACTAAACTAACAATTTTTCCTTTCCTTTTCAGTTAGTGAAAAGTATACTCTTTTCAAGTGAGTAATTGCTTACTTTCCTTGAAAGTGAAATATTTTTAATATCCTGCATAAAAATGCTTTGATGTTTTTTCTCATCATTTATTGTAAGTAAAAAAATATCTAAACATTTTCTTACAAGGTTTCTTTCTTCTTTATTGTTTTAAAGGAGTTTTTTAGATCTGGGTGCGGGTTTGAGTGTTGGACTGAGTGGCCTGGCAGCAGGTTTTGCTATTGGTATTGTTGGAGATGCTGGAGTCAGAGGAACAGCTCAACAGCCCCGTCTTTTTGTTGGAATGATTCTTATTTTGATTTTCGCTGAAGTTCTTGGTCTTTATGGACTGATTGTTGCTTTAATCCTTACCACAAAAAGTGCTTAGAAACATTGTTGAATCCTATCATGACATTTTGAAATTGAACTAGAGTTAAGTCTTATTTGCTATTGCTGAAACTTATTTTTCACATGGGTGTCCTTGTTAACTTATATGTTAATGTTGTTTGGTTCCTCACTATGAACTCACTGTTGTCTTAATTTCTGATTTTGTCAGAACTGAGCTTTGTAAGTGTTACTTTATTTGGTTATGTGAGACCTACAGCTAGTATGGTCAAGGTAAGAGCCCCTATGCATGTTCTTGTTAGGAAAGCTAAGATAATCTAAGCCTTGCTTTTAAGGTGCAGAAGTGTGAAATGTGATTAATTAGAAAGTATTTCTAGAGCATTGTCATGGAATATCAACTTGAAAGCAACAAGAGAGTGTGAAGGGCCAAAAAAGTAGAATTCTTTGAAATTACATAACCATGCATGAAAGCTGTTTCATTGCGAGTTCTAATTTAATAGTAAGGAAATAAAGAGAAATTTCCAATTAGAGCTGGTGAATTTGTTTTTGCCAGGAAGACAGTGATATGATAAACCATTAATTTTAGTTTGTTACTTTTGTACTTAGCGGCAGTGACACCACCAGCAGTATTCTCTAGTTATTATTGTCATTTTAAATTACATAACAATTCTTAAGAACAAAGCAGAGCAGCAAGTGATGAAATTCAAATTTTAAGCCAAGAATGTGAAATGTATAAGGTGTTACTTACCCAGGAAATGGTTTCCTTGATTAGTTCTTGTTGATTGGCACATAGGAAATGTTTGCACTGGATGTTGCAAACTTATAATTTTTCAGCAACTTCAAGTGGTATCTTTTTTTAGATCAAGCAAGATCTTCAAGATGTTGAAAAAAATATATCATGGTATTTTAATTTGTGGTTTTGTGGGGTGTGACGCCCATTAGGCAAGAACTGTGACTCATGATATATCAAATGGCATGCATGGGAAATATGTAAAAACCCAACAAAAGAATGAGTTTATTAAACTGTCTTAAATCCTCAGTTTGTTTATTTATTGGCTCTGTATGTACATGTTTACACCAAGGGAACAATCAAGAAAAAAGAAGCAAATTATGGGAGCTGTGAAGTGTTAGGAAAGCTGATGAGGGGCTGACACTCAATTAATCAGCTCTAGAATATCTTTCTGGTGGCCAATATATGTTATCAACATAGTTGATAGGACCAAATTATCTTGCAATACCCTCCACTAGTGCTACACAACACTTCCTAATAATACTTACCTCCTGATTTATTTGGAAGCACCACAGTTTATCTCTCCCAGGACAGGATTATCTGTTAAGAAATTCTATTTCTTGATGGCAGTTATGATATATCATTAAAATTGTGGTGTTTGTTACTGGATCTTAGTGCACACATTTCTTTATACATGCATGGGGATGATGTAATTTTAGTTTTCTTGCTCTCACTCAAGTTATAGAATTTTTTCTGTTTTTTTTCTGTGTGAATGCTCTTTAATTTTCCTTTGGTACTGATTCTAAGTTGAATTTATTCTTGTGGAGGAAAGAGTTACTTCCTCCAATGCATTTTGTGTTCAGGAGTCAAGTGGCCTATGTTCATGGTCCTTAGAGCAGAACGTTGAGAGTAAAATAGGATTGCATTGGATTTGGCTTGATACCCTCCGTCCTTGTTACAGGAAATCCACATCTTTCTTGCCACCGATCAGTCACAAATGTAAAGCCAACAGAACTTGGCTGTTGTCATTGCCCCTTAACTATGTATTTTTGGGGTTATCACTGTGTGCTAGAGGTATTATTCTCTTTTTCCTTATTTGTTGGTGTGATTACTTAGGTTTGGTCTCAAGACACTTAAAGGACTCGATTATGCAAAGGTATTGTTTACCTAAATAACTTTGAAGCTGTTTTTAGTGGCAACTCATCTACCCTAGGTTAGCCATGTTCAACCTCGTTTACCCTCATCTACCCTTGGTTAGCCATGTTTTTCCACGTTTACCGTGGTCTCTCCTTGATAACCCATATTCTACCACCTTTACCCCCATCTACCCTTGGTTAGCCATGTTACACCTCGTTTACCTCCATCTATCCCAGGTTGCCCATGTTCTACCACGTTAACCCCCAGCTATCCTAGGTAAGCCATGCTCTACCACGTTAACCCTCGTCTACCCTAGGTAACCCATATTCTACCATGTTCACCCCCATGTACCCTAATTTACCCATGTTCTACCCAGTTTACCCCCATGTACCCTAAGTTACCCATGTTTTACCACGTCCACACCCATCTACCCTAGTCTTCCTTGCAGCCGTTTTTAGGGTCGTCACTGAACGCTCCTCCCCACCAACCGCTGCTCAGGATAGAGACACATTCATTTCCCTAATTAACCCTAATTAAACCAGGATCTATCACACATGTACACATGTTCATTCCAAGGCGGAAGGGAGTGGAGACCTCTTTAAGATAATTTGTAATCATGCTTGTCGACAGGTTAATATTTAACAATTATCCGCCTCAGGTTCGGTGAATGTCGTCGAATAATCCCCGAGACGAAGTCGAGGGGATTATTCGACAATATTCACCGAACCTGAGGCGAATAATTGTTTTAGTATAATTTCAGAGCTCAACAACAGAGAAATCTCTAAAATCATAACATTTTAGTAACATTCATTAACATTTTAGTTTAACATTTTATATAAACCGCGAGGCGCGGCTTATATAGCGTCGTATAAGGAACCGCTCGACCAATCAGATTGCTGGAAACTCTTTGCTCAGCTCTGAAATTATACTAAATCTAGTTACAAACACTGCTCACAGCAAATTAAGTTTAAAAATGTTCAAATGCGTTTTTAATAAAATCATTATTGTAGATAAGAGTTGCTCATTGCTTTCATCTTCTCTTCCATTCAGAAGGAAAATCAAGGAAATTTTATTCACTGAGGTGAACGCAGGCGATTGGTGTTATCAATAATGAATATAATATCTAAATAATCAAAATCTAAAGAATCCAACTAAACTGCCTTAATCTGAATACAAAAGCATGGAGGTAAACGTGGTAGAACATGGGTTACCTAGGGTAGATGAGGGTGAACGTGGTAGAACATGGTTAGTCAAGAGTAGATGGGGGTAAACGTGGTAGAACATGGTTAACCAAGGGTAGATGGGGGAAACGTGGTAGAACATGGCTAACCTAGGGTAGATGGGGGTAAACTGGGTAAAACATGGTTGGCTCAAAGAAGATGAAGGTAACTGAGAGAACAAGGTTAGCTAGGACATATCAGGCAACATACATGAATGTTATATTATTTAGTATTAATGAATATTAGTTATTGGGAGGAGATATGGACCTAACATGAACGCTTTACCTCGCCACCATTGTTGGTTGGAACGCCTGACAATTTTATCCATGTGATTACAAAATGGCTTCGCTTTGTTTGAGGTTGATGTCTAAAGCTCCGAATTGTTGCTACTACGCTTCTCAAGTCATCATAAACTCATCACGTCTTACCATGACTTTCCGGAAATTTTCTTTTCAAGGGAAAAGGAGTGTTTATTGCGTTAGTAACTTGCAGCCATCAAGGAGAATTGCTTTGACATCTGTTAGATGGCGTAAGGAAAAAAGTTTCCAAAATGATCACCCTGAGAGAGTTTTTCTTGTGGACGAAACCAGTGGTAACCAAGGTGAAATGTCGTTTGAACAGGCGTTGCAGTTGGCGAAAGACAAATCGCTTGAACTTGTTCGGATGAACAGGATTGGGAAGGACGAATCAGTAGTGCCTGTCTTTAAATTGATGTCGACTGATAGAGATGCCAACGCGAGACCTACAGTTCGCTCTCTTGAAGTTAAACCGCTGAAGATTAAAACTGTAAAAGTAACTGACAAAATAGAATCTCAAGATTTGTTTTTCAAAATAAAACGGATTGAAGGTTACCTGGAAAAGGGTTACCGAGTGAGGCTTTTCGTTAAAGATAAAAAGAGAGGAAATGAGGAATCAACATCGGATGACAAATTAAATATCATAAAGCAAATACAGCAAGAATTGAAGGTAAACCATACAACTGAAAGGCCTACAGAGGAAGGTAAAGGCGTCATTGTTTGTGTCTTTAAACCTGCGTAGTTTGTAATGAACAGTGAGACTAAGTAAGACAGTGAGTTCAAAGAAGTTTCCATTTCAAATTGAGACAAAGTGCAACACCTCTTATATAAAACTGACTTTTGTTTTCTGGATAATAAAAATTATTTTGACATTGAAAGTTTTGCTCTTACCCTTGCTTCAAAAGAGAGGCATACTACAGTTCAGAGTTAGAGGAGAGATAGAGGAGATGAAGAATAGTTGTGGTTACACTAGCCCTTTTACCCATGGGCAAATAACATTTGCCTACGGGCAAGGACATTTTTGTGTGTAACGGCTTTCCCTAGGCCGAAACTGCCCTTGGGTTATTTCCATGTGTACATCAGAAAGAACAAAAGAACTTCCCGTGACAGTTCCTTAACTGAAAAGCATGGTTTATCTGCTCCTTGAGGTGACTTAGCCAATCATAAAGTAGAATGTAGCTAATACAGGAAATTGCCTGCAGCTTGGCTAATTTCACACCCACTGGTAACATGGCAGGGTTTCGTGCACCACTGTGAGTATTTCTTTATTTTCATGAGTTTGCCCTCCAGAATTGTCAATTCTGAGGTTGATTAAGTAATAATCTTTCTGTAGGTTCATCTTCTCATAGGAATACTAGTCAAAACTAAGATCCTTACTATAACAGGTTTCTATTTGCTGCACTAAATCAAACAAGGCCACAGGGAGTTAAAACCACTGGTAATCCCTTGTTATGTAGAAGTTGCTGAAACCAATTCTGTGGTTGTGGAAATACCCAAGCTCTTCTTGGCTGGCAAGCAAGTTCGTGATGAGCTCATAAATATAAATAAAATACTAACAAACCTTGAAGGTAGCGTAGTTGAAAGCACCTTCTTTGGTGTCTTCTCACCAAAAAAACTGCGGGACTGTTATATTTATGGAGTACTGTTGTATAATAAGCAAGAGTATCACTGAAATTAAGCTTATTAGATCTCGATTCGTGACATCAATGTTGCTCTGCACTTTCCTGGTCAATTTGTCAGGTCAGTGAACTCATATCTTATTATATTTGACCCTAAGGGGAGTCTTTTACTGTGTAACAACATCCCCAAGGGTAACATGAAACCTGAGCTTAACCAAACCTTAGCCATTTACCCTCCATAAGGCTCCAAATGCAAGGCTTGTGTAACCACTGCTAATGACACAAAGTGCTCATGAGGCTTTGTTGCTCAAAATCAACACTGAGACTCGTAATAATAACACCTCAAATGTGTGTTAATCCTCTCACTGAGCCATTGCTCTTTCATTTCTTGAATTCATCTAGTCAAAGCCACTCTTGCGTGATTTTCTATTTTAGTGCCTTAAGATGTAGCACTATGTTAGCAAGGAAACTGTTAATCATGATAATTAACAACTATTCATGTCAGTGTAGAGTGTCACTGGCTAATGATCATGAAGCAGTGAGGTAATATCTACTGCTAGCCACTGACTCTGAGGTGAATAGTTGTTTTATTAGAGACAAAAACAGTGAGATAATATAGCACAAAACATGATTTTAAATTATTAATTCCTACAATGGTTACAAAATTTTTGGTGCAATTCCCTCACAAGAGGCTCTGAGCTGAGGTGAAAATCAAAGGTTACTCAGAGTTTGAGTAGCCAGTCTGAGTGCCATTTTAATGCTATCCACGTTGTTAGCATATACTAATTGTAATTGGCCCATGGAATGCGTGTTGTTCAAACATGTGGAATTCTTTTTACACCACTTTGGGTTATATCTCTTTGCACATTCATAGCCACTGTTATTGGAGAACTTTACGTAAACCAGATGAAGAACATTTTGGCATGTTCTGTAACTAGCCATTTATTTTTCCACACAAGATAATAAGAAAAATTTACATTTGACCAAAAGAAGCCCTTATTTCATAGACCACTTTCATAAATGGCTGCCGGATTAATATTCTTTTGTTTAAATTTAAATTTGCCCAAGTGGCCTCACTTGAGATAATGTATTCTTTTGAATTTTGTACTGGAGAACGAGGCCACCCAGGCAAATTTATATGTAAACAAAAGAATTTTAATCCGGCGGCCAATTATGAAAGTGGTCCATACACAGGTTGATTTCACGATGTTGCAAAAGGATTGGTTCATGATTTGATCTCCAAATAGCAAGGTATGCATACACTTTGGAAATTTAGAGAGCCCTTACTTGTGCTTGGAGTAACTCTTGCTCTCCCCCCTCCTGAACTTCCTGTGTGTATACCTACTTCCATGATGAACCAATTCTAATGACACCGATTTCTTTGTTGGAGGTTCATCATGAAATTACTTTCAAATTTTAAGAATGGTTTGCCTTGGATCAAAACAAAGTGTGGGCATTATTTTCACTGAATAGAAATGGAATGATTAAAGGTGTGACTGCAAATTGTTTGAAATAATTATTTGTCTTTATCTCACACTTTCATGCCCATAGCTACTGGAGCTTTGTAAGAATTTTTATTATGTTTTGAAGCTGCATTTTTGTACATGAGTTGCAAAAAGCACCAGTAGAATACAAAACTTATGATTCACTTTTAATACCCAGTGTTTCCATTTTCAAATTTGAAAAGCTTAGTGCTTTACAAAGTACAATGAATCACCATCTGTGTAATTCCGTGTGGCATTCATCATCAATTTTTTTGGAGAAAAGATTCACCAAAACTGACTGCAGAACAGACATAGGGTCAGTGTTTTCAAGTTACCTGCGCCCTCAGTGTAGCGGATGGCACGCCTCGTCCTGGACATTGTACGTAGGATGTTACGAAAACTAAGACCCC